CCTCAAGAGAGTTAAGGAGGCCCCAGAGACCGAACCAGATTACCGCACTACAGAGGGGTTGTTATTTGAGAAGACTAATATAGTAGACCATCTGTGCGTTCCTAACAGCGAGGAGATCCGCAGTTTAATCCTAGGGGAATGCCACGACACAGAGGGACATTTCGGTTGGCAAAAGACTCTAGCCAATCTGATGCATGCGTACACTTGGCCAGGAATGAAAGCTGACTGCATAGAGTATGTCCGCAGTTGCAAAGTGTGCCAGAGAAACAAGACTACGCGTGGCCCTCTAGGTCTTCTCAGACCCTTGCCTATTCCTGATCAGCCAGGAGATTAAGTGTCCATTGATTTTATGGACGCTGGCATGAAGAGTAGGCATGGTAAGAGCCAAGTCATGGTCATAGTTGATAGATTCAGTAAGTATGTTGTTTTTGTTCCTTTGCCTGCAGAGGCACGCACCGAGTTAGTCATTCAGAAGTTTTTCAATTTTTGGGTTAGTGAGCATGCAGTCCCATTGTCCATCGTTAGCGATAGAGATACCCGTTTCACGAGTCAGAACTGGCAAGAACTGATGAAAGTTTATGGGTCAAAGTTGCTGATGTCATCTGGCCGTCATCCAGAGACTAACGGTCAAACTGAACAGATGAATAAGATCCTGCAACCAGTTCTGCACATGTATATTAGACCAGATCAAGTCAATTGGGATGAGATGGGCCCGGTAGCCCGAGGCCCAACAGAACAGGCCTTGGGCCTGAGGTGGCTGCATGCCCCCAACTGCCTTTGGCCTGTGTTTGGCCCAGTACCCGTATCCAGCCCAGGGCCTGCTTTCCATACATTCACACAGGCAGCCCAGGGCCTGGGTTCTCTCAACCAACTGACGCCAGACTCATGCAACCTGCTACAGGCCCAATTTTGTGTGTGTGTGTGTCTTTTTTTCCTTTTTTTTATTTTCTTTTTATGGTTTTGATTTTTTTTTAAATACACGAGGTTTCAAAAAAATAAAATAAAAAGTAAATTGTTGTACATCTTTGAAAGATCTACAACCCTATATTTTTTATTTGTTTTTTTGTTTTTGTTTTAGCCCTTAAAAAATCTGTGTGAAACCCAAAACAAAAACACTCGTTTCATTTTAGTTTTTGTTTTTTTCATTGTGTGTTTATGTTTTTGATTTTAAAAAAATATATTTAAGCATCAAAAAATAAAAATAAAAATATAGGGTTGTAGTCCTCAAAAAAACCTACAACCCCGTATTTTTTATTTTTTTTTGGACAATTTTTAGCCCAGGAAAAAAAAAATCTCGGACCCCATTAATTCACGTCCAACTCGCGTTTGAACTGGAGTTTAACGCGAATTCAACGCGCGTTGAATTTTTCAACGCGGAACCCGCGTTGAATTCAAAATCGGACACACAGCTTATCAGGAACCAGAGGACGACCGCTGGTTTGAACAAAACTTCTAGAAACAGCTCCCGACATAGTTAGGGCCTACAAGAGAGATAGGAAAGGTAAAGGTCTTGCCTTGGACTGAGTTATTCTCGGAGGACCTCAAATTTAGGCCGGCAGGAGTGAAACGGTATTCACCTAGCGAATGCAGATCCCAGGGCTCGATCCCTAGTTCTTTCCTTGCCCATGTACAGTATCTGTGTCGACCCCGAGAGTTGAACCCGTGACCTGTGTATTCACAACAGTTGTAGGCTGTCGTAGGTCCGTAGGTTGGTAGGGGTTCGATCTGTGGACCTATTGGATAGAGGTCTTAGTGAGACCTAGAGGTCGTAGCTGTAGGTGTCCTAAGAAGTCAAGGTCGTGGCTGCTACAGTCCTGAAAGGTCAAGGTCGTAGCTGCTACAGTCTTCGAAAGGCCAAGTCTCCAGCCTTCCGGAAGGTCCCAGTAGTGGCCTTTCGAAGTTGCTCACGTTTAGACAGAGGCAAGTGAGCAAGTGGTGAGCCCAACTGCGGTACGTCGGCGGTGCGATTGCATCGAGTTGGCAGTGCAAACCACTGCAGTCAGCGGTACTGGTCCCAGTCAGTCACAGTCCAGTCAAGGAAGTACCGTATGGGACTGTGTGCACCACGGAGATGGGAAAGGGCCAGACCAACGAGCTATAGAAGAATAAATCAAGAGGCAGCGCCCAGCCAGCCATTCATTCCTGCATAAGCCATGCGGTAGCGCTGCCATAGCGACTTGTGCGAGGTGGTCTGCAGTGAGCCTGAAGACGAAGTGGGCGAGAAGGAGAGCTTAGCCATAGCGATAGGGGTAGTAGCGGCCATAGCCGCCATAGCTGATAGAGTAGTATAGCGTGTGTATGTGTGCGTGAGTGTACAATGTGACACGTGTGGGATATCCAGGGTGATCCTGTGTGTGTGGACAGCAGAGTTGGGTTGGCGACGAACAAAGAGTTGTGCAGGCGCTGTGCGCCATAGCCGTTTGAAGTGCGCTTGCATCTGAGCTGCGTTCTTGGTTACCATATCTCTGAGTTTTGAGTGGGCGCTTGTCGCCAGTTTGCTGCGCAACCTGTTTACATGCATGTGAAGTGTGAAAGATAGCGAGTCTGATTGCA